TATTCTTGGGGTTTGGGTTTTTTTTGCCTTACCTTAAGATAGAAGATTTCTTTTTAATAAATGTGTTGGACTCTTGAGGATAAATAAAAAGGATATGAGCTTTTGTTTTGAAACCCAACAGTAAAAGAAAAAGGAAATGAGTGTGAAAATAAGCCAGTGGCAAACTTCTTAACTTCAAAGTTAAGAAAAGCAAGTAGCTTTTCCATATATTAGAAGCTGCTTTATCCATGGCTTTTGCTCCTTGTTAGGCAGAGCTGGTTCTGTTGTTGGTTCTAGTGAGGAAAAGGAGGTTTTAGTAACCACAAGACTCCTTCATTTAGTTGAAAGCCAAGTGGTTTAGCTGTATTACATGGTGATGACTGAAAATTTTCAGCTCTTTGATTACTGAGGTTATTAACCATCCTTGTTAACTAGATGTGTATGTAGTTAGCAAGAAAAAAGATTTACAGGAAATTTTAAAAAGCTGATCAAGAAGGTCTCTCAAGGTAATACCATTAATGAAGACCTAAATGAAAGGAATATAATGCTAACCAGTATGGTTTTGTTAAAAGTAGATGTGTAGTGAACTGTATGTGTTTATGTATTTTTATCAGAGCAGTCTGGTTTGTAAATACATTATGGAATACACTGAAATTTCTGCAAGGCTTTTCACTTAGGTGTTTTGATTAATAAATAAACATTGCACAAACTAAGTAGACCAAAACCTCAGTAACTGAAATATCCCAATCCAGGGGCTTATGAGTAAGTAGATGTTTCTAGAGGGCTCATGGGATTTGTTCCATGGAATTGAATTATTTCCAGACTTTTTTAGTGACATGGAAGAAAGCTTTCTTGCTAAGTTGGGCTCAAGCAAAGCAAGCTGTGTTTTAAGGTAGACAGAAATGCAAATTCCTAGGAAGAAGAAATTTAGAGTAGAATTTTAGGACTGAGAGCACTTCCCATGGAGATACAGAAGTTGAAAAAGATTTGGGTGATGTGGTGGTTGATCAGGTCAGTGTGAGCTATTGCAGTGTTATTTTTCTGACAGGATCAAAAGGGCTGGTAGAATTACTGAATATGTGAACAGAAGTGGCAGGTGGGCTTGGGCAGATAGTGAGTCTGCAGTATGAGGAAAGGCTGAGAGAGCTGGGTTTGTGCAGCCTTGAGAAGAGAAGGCTTTAGGGGAGACCTTATTGCTATGCTCCAGTATTTAGAGTGGCTATCAAGAAGAGGGAGACTCCTTTTTTATGTGGAGTCACATGGAAAGAGGAGGGCTAATAGGTGCAAGTTACTTCTTGGGACATCCTGATTGAACTCCAGAATAAATTTTTTCTCTATGAGAGCAGATGGACATTGGAATAATCTCTCCAGGGAAGTGGTGGGTTCCCCAGCATTGGACACTTTTTAAGAGAGCTTAACAAGGTGCTGGACCATCTAATCTAAGCCATGTTCCTACTTAGAAAGGTTGGACCAGATGATCCGTGGTGTCCTTCAAAACTGGCATATTCTATGATATGATTCTGTATTTAGGAAAATAGACCTAACTGCTGAAATCTGGAGTTTACATTCTTCACCTTAAAAATGGCAATTTAAGAGGAAGCATGACCAGAATGTATCTACATGAAGACCTAAACTTTGATAACAAGGGTTTCTTCAAAGTGGTTGACAGACCAGTTAGACAGTTTAGACAAGATCTAAAAATCAAAGGTAAGTAGGCTCAGATTAGTAGCAGCATTAACTAGTAGCAGCAGCTAGTTCTGTAAGATTGTGGTGTGTTGTTCTTCAGGGGAATGTTTTAAAATCTAGATAGAATGTTTTTCTAAGCCAGGATATGACCTCTGCAGTCCTGCAGCTTGTGTTGTGCTAGTCAGGCACATTGACCCCATCACCTCTCCTATTTCATATGTTGGTGAACTTGTGGTTCTTGATCTATCCAATACTCCTTAAATGATGTCTAGATAATCTGTTTAGCCTCTGTTCAAAACCTGCATACACCACATTGTTGACGTAAGATGATAAACAAATGTTCTGGCTACTGCCATTGAGGTGACGTTGCTTGGTTTTAGTCTGAAGTGATTGGAAGTGGTTTTTTTAGACCTTAAGCTAACAATTTATTGCATTGATTTTATGTTAGAATTCTTTTTCATTCTCAGTGTTGATAGCCTAGAAAGGGCATGACTAGATCTTTCAACTGTGAAGAAGGTGCTGTATGAGTGCAAAGAAGAGCTATTCAATATAAATGCAAAATACAATATGGATGCTTGACTTCACCATTGTAGATAAAAGAGTATTTAATCAGAGTGTGATGTTTTAGAGCTTTATCTGACAGACTCATGATGCTGTGTTATGAAGTTATGCTATAACGGAGTGTCAGCCAGTAATATATAATTAACATACCTTGAAATGTAGTCTTTAGTTTTCCTGCCCTATTAAATGAGATTTTTCATTTCTAAATTGTGTGCTATTTTTACAAGCGACAATTTGTATCTTGATAGAACAGAGATAAAATCTGGAACTCTTACTGTGTTATACTTTGTGTTAAAAAAAATCCAGAATTGTTATTTTTGTGTTTAACAATTCTGGATTTTTTTTTAAATTTTTTTTTTCCTGTGTATGAAAACCAATGTTGGAAAGCTTAGTAGTTAGAGATAGTTACAGGCTTATTCGTAGATGAACAGAACCTATTCACATGAAATAAATCAGTATCCAACTGATTGACTGGTTTAACTTTGCCTTATTTGATTACTTTTTAAAGCTGTTTTACCGTACTTTGTCCATGTGTGTTCTGCATGGGCCCATATTTCCTCCTAGCAGCAGCAGTGTGGGGATGAATGACATCATAGTTAAAACACTCATCTGAGTCTTTGGAGGTACATCTTTCTGGCTGTGCTGTAGCATTTCTTTGTAACCTAAGGCAAGGTAGTTAATTTCTGGGTTTTATGCAGTCGTATAAAAGAGTGTCTTTATTATGGGAGATATTACTTTGGCACAATAGAATATACAGGTGTCCTCAAGGTAATAGAAAATAAGGTCCTGACTGGGGATACGTATATAAGCATTTGCTCAGCGTGCTGTATGTAATTACATATGTGCTTGAAGCTGCATATAAATATAAGCAGTGCCTTAATAGTATTGTTTTCATAGAAGCATAGAATTGTTTTGTTTGGAAAAGCCTTTTAAGATTATTCAAGTCCAACCATTAATCAAGCACTGCCAAGTCCCACCACTAATCCACGTCTCTAAGCACCACATCTACATGTCTTTTAAATAACCTTCCGGGATGGTGACTCCACCACTTCCCTGGGCAGCCAGTTCCAGTGCCTGACAACCCTTTCAGTAAATAAATTTTTCCTAGTTTCCAATCTAAACCTCCCCTAGTGCAACTTGAGGCCATTTCCTCTTTTTCTATCACCTGTTACTTGGGAGAAGAGTGCAACAGCCTCCTTTCAAGTAGTCCTAGGGGCTGATAAGGTCTCTTTTCCCTGAGGAAGTTTTCCAGAATTTAAGCCAAAGTTACAGTCTGATTGCTATTCCTGCATTAGCAATCAAAATAGCCCAGTAAGAGGAGGATTGCAGAATAAGATAGTTGGTGCTGAGAACCAGATAGCATGCTGTGTGCTGGGGGGGGTTACACTGTGTTAGCTCCTACCTGGTGCTTTGAAGTGAATCACTCCAAAGGAGGTAGTTTCTCAGCATTCATGAGATCCTACACACCACCACTACCTCCAGTGCAGGAGGGCATTGACCAACTAGAGTGAGTTCAGCTGACATCACTGAGACGGTGGGTCTGGGAAAAGAGGCTGTTTGAGGCTGTGTTCTCCTTTTCCCAGGGCTGTACTCAAACACACTGCTTTTTCAAACAACTTTGTATGGTACCTACCAATATGCTTTAGTAGCAGCACTGTGATGATACAGCACCAGGACTCCTATAGTTGTAGCTTTCTCGTTACTCCCACAAGTGAGCTGAAATGTGACTGGTCTTCAGCCTTCTGTGTGCTTGAGATGTTGCTCCTGTACTGATGTTAGAGCAGTGTCCCCTTTTATGTGAACTTGATTCTAAATGTGCTGATGCTAGGAATGGCCTATATTGCTCAAAGAAACTGGTAGAGTTGTATTAAGATACATTTTTATGCTAGCAGAAAGAAATACCAACACCAATGTCATCAGCATCACTAAGACAAAAGAAAAAGAGTGGTGTGCTTTTCTAAGGCACGTGGGCCCTCACCTGAATTTCTGTCCTTAGGATTTTCAATTACACGGACCTCACAAAGTCTAAATTAGAGATAATCCTTCAGTTGCTTTAAAAATAACCAAATCCCAATAAGAATGACAACAAAAAAAGCAGCAATGAATGTCAATTTAATTAAATATCTTGGCCACTTTTGTATGCTCAGAAATCTGGCAGGCAGCTTTGAATAAATTTAATCATTGTGTTTTGCTCATTTTCCTGCAGCAGAATCCTTTTGTCGAGGGAACTCAACATTATGGTTTCTGAATTGATGCAATTACTAAGCAAAAGTTATTGTATAATGTTTGTTAATAATGGAGATACGAAAGCTAGGGAAAGCACGTTTTAGCTTTTCATTTTTATCAATTCTGAAGTTAAGGAAAATTGTAACTTAAGTTTGTTAAATATATTGTATTTCAAAATAAACCACTGAGAATTAAGAGAAGTTGTATCTACTGGTGCCATTTTAACTATCTTGTTTTAGAGACAGATACTAACTTTGTCAAAAGTACTTGGCTTCATCATTCCTTTAAGTGTAAGAAGTCTTGGTGAAGATAAAATGTGAGTTGGAATCATTCTTGTAGTTTTATTTCCTTTAAGAGCAAGAAGAATTAATAATATCTCAGTAAGATCTTTTTATTTATAATTTTTGATCAATTACCACCAGTATAGCATGTGTGCATTAAAATATCTAGGTGGCTCAACTTAAATCTTAAAATATTAAAAAAAAACAAAAACAAAAAAACCCCACCACCCGTGTTTGCTTTAAAACGTTGCATCTTTTTTGCTTTAGGAGAAAAGACTGAAAGAAAAAGCAGCAAGGAGAGAGGCCAGAAATAAGAACGCTGAGGTAAGGATTTTTGTTGTTTTGATCAAGCTACTGGCGGTGGGTTTGAAACTTTTAAAATTATATTGTTCCTTTCTTTAATAAGCAATGTTGTGATTAGTGACTCAAAGGATTTTCTGTTTGCTTGCCTCTTCTTTCTCCCTTGCTCAGATGTGGTTATAATGACTTGTTATGGAAGGATACTGAGACAGCATGAATGTGTCTATGTATAAATACACATGTCTGTGTAAATACATACAATGTATGGAAGCCTTTTGAAATTCCAGCCTCTTTATTCTGTATATCATGTGAGTTGCAGTTTCAGCTGCAGTGCTGATGCCATAATATTTTCTCTGAATACTTGGTCATGTTTATAACTTGCAGATAGTAAGATATGTATTTTTTTGTCAAATCTCTTTTAAACCTGTTTCTGGGGAACCTCTCCTTTAAAAAGAAAATACTTACTCCTTCCCCTTGTTAGACCCAGAAATAAAACCTTTGCTATGCAGTTCTTTTTATGTACATTACTAATTCCCTGGAGGCTGTTCTGATTTTTCATATTACTTGGTTTGTGATAAACGGGTATTTCATGCAGCTGCAATGATTTTCCAGAATATGGACAGAGTAACGTGTGTCATTTCTCCTGCTACATCTCCTTAAGCTACACATGAATAGTTACGGTTGGTTCCTGGCAGTTAGCAAATATGTCACTCCCTTGAGAAAATCAATAATGTTCTTTGTCCAGTTTTTGTGAGCTGGCTGTGTGCTGGGAGACTTAAGCATAGGAAGATGCTTTGTCGTGTGGTTCTGAAGTGGCAAGTAATTACAGTTTAAGATGAAGAGCCTAGTTACACCAAGTATTAAGTATGATTCTGTCTTTGAAGATGGCAAGCTATGAGAGCTGTTGGTATTGAGACTCCATAGTCAAGCAGTAGAAATTTTCTGCATGTAATTGAATGTCTTGAGATGTATCTTTTTTAATGTATTGAGCAAGCATCTTAGGAAAATTATGGAATGAATTATTAACAAACATCTTAATACAGGGAGAAAATATTGATCAAATCAGACTATATCACATTTGTAAATGCTGCTTGTTAATTTTGCCTTTTTTAAGGAATAAAAAAAAATCCTCCAGCTGTCTTACTCGGCAGCTGGAGAAATAAATCCATTCTTCTCAAAAGGATGTGCTTGCTGATGCACTTCTCCTATTCTATTCTTTGCCAAGCAAGTTAATCTCTCCCTCCTGTTGGAAAATGAAGTTGATCTCTGCTGAGAAATTATGTGTCCGTGTGGGTAGTGTGTGTCCTTGGGTACAGTATGGATTTAATGTGCAGCCTCAATCCCAGAACTGTATAAGATAAAGCCACAGTTTGATGCACTTCTGCCTCTTTTCTGGACAGCACTTGCACTTGGGAAGCTGATTTACTAGTCCTTGTCTAGTGTGAGATTGGCTTATGCTTTCTGTGAGAGTACCAACTGTGCAAACCTGCTATTACTTTGACCCAATTATATTCCTGAAATGCTTAGCTCACTTGATGCCAGAAGGTACAAGCCTCAGGAGCTGACATGTCCTCGATGAAAACTGTTGGGCTTTTTCTCTTGTTTAGAGACTATTTTTGCTAGAACTGTGTGCAGCCGAGTCCTGTTGTTTTCAGTGGGGCTCATTTCAGGGAACACACTTCCACTGGGAAAGGCTGCCATCTTGGAGCCAGGCTGTTCAGGCCTGGAAGTGGGAAGCAGTAGATGGTTGCTGCAGGTGGCAGTTTCTGTCTGCTGAGTGTCTGAGGAATTCAGAACAGTCCTTCCTTCGCAGAATCTTAGAGATGAAGCCACAGTAGCTGGAGCTTTCTGTAGTCCACATGAGATATGACTCGAGCAGCTCCTATGAGACATCCAAAGGAAAAAAAAGAGAAGGAAACAGTAAAAAATAGTAACTTGTTTGGAAAATAGATGTTGACTAAATCAGGAGTTTAAAAACATTTGCATTTTCACTAGTGCTTTCAGAATATGGCCTGTTAACCACTTACTCTGCCATACACAACTCCTTTGGTAGTTAATAGCATTTTCTTAAAAGAGAAAGCAAGAAGGAAAACAAAAAAAAAGAAAGCAGAAAAGGTATTTTTAGCGATATTAATGCAATTTAGCAGCTGGAGGAAAGGCCTATATCAACAATTATGAGCAGCCAGTCAATTCAAAGCAGCTGTGGTCATAATTTATTGTTCCACATCTACCTGCTTTATGCTTTATGTTTGTTTTATTAACTGCATCTCTCATTATGAACTCCTTGGGATACAGGGTATTACGTGTCATCTTTCACTAGTACACAGCCCACCAGGTCAGAGATGACCAAAACCACAATTTACTTTCCCATTCCAAACATTTAATAATAATTAATCAATTGCACCTCTGCTTTAGTATAATTCTTGTTGCCCTCTTGTTGGTTATGCTCTGCTGCTGACTGCACAGGGCCTGACGTTGTTATTTATGTCTGCTGTTTGTTTTTGGTTGGTTGTTTTTTTTTCCAAAACAAAAAGGGAATTTATTTGGAACTAAAACTTTATGGTTTAGAGTTTTTTTATTTTATTGTAAACCATACACGTGTGGGATTTAATCTTGTTAGTAACAGTTAATACTGTTTCTCTGTCCTGTACATATTCACCTCTTTCCCATGCCAGGAATCTTGATTTCTTGACATTTTTCATTTACTCTACCTATAGTTTTTTAACTCATGGCCTGTTCTTTTTAATAAGCACTGTCCTTCAGTTTTATACCACTATGTTGTTCTGGGGGGAGGAGGAAGAGTATCTCCAATTTTGCTGGTATTGGTGTTTGTTGTTTTTTCCCCTTTTATTTCAAATTTTTAATGCTTTGCATGAGTGCAGGTTTTTTGTCTGTATGCCAGCAAAAGGAAAGCTGACAGGACAGATGGGGCTTCTTATTTTTCTTCTGGTGCCACAGGAGCAATTGTCTGGATGATTTTACTCAGCCTTCACCATGCTGGGGCAGGGCAGGCTCCCTGCAAGTGGAACTGAACAACCAAATTCTGGCATGCCCTGCTGAATGTGCTTGAGCAGGGGATTAGATGAGTGGGTAGCTGCAGTGTTATTGACTCCACCTTGGATAAATCCCCATGCAATAAATAAACTAGGTAAAAAGTGAGGGCTCTTAATGGATGTTTTAAAGAAAGTATTTCTTGGAATTTATGACCCTTAATTAAATTTAAGTGCAAAGGCTGTGAAAGCAGATAAGAGAAGGGGTTTGTTTACATTCCTACTGAAGAAAAACTGGGAACCTAATTTTCTGGTTTTTTTTTAATAATCAGATATTTAATTGTCTTGCAGTTTATGATAATTTGTTGAGATACTTACAGTGTTTTAAGATAAAAAAGCAAATATTTTTTTCTCATTTGGGACTGATAAAATTACAGTCCTCAAGCAATTTTTGATAGTGTTTGCTTTTGAGATGGTCTAGAGAAAATTAGGCAACCATGTTGTCTTTTGACCAAGAAGTAAAGGTTTGTGCAGAAGCAGCAGCACCATTTACAGCTGCTCTGAGGCAGTAGCTGGGTGTTACTTGATGAAGCCAGCCCCTGGTCTCAAACAGGATGTCCCTGTGCCGTGCAGTGCTCTGCTCTTGGCTTTGCTCTTTTGGTTCTAGTAATCTATCACATACTGATTTCTTAGTATACCTAAAGAACTTTTATTTTGGGTTTCAACCAGCATTTAAAGGTCCTTGCTCTGCAAGCAGTAAAGCTTAACAGGACTGTATATCTCCTTTAGTGAGTTTAGTGTTTTCCTATCCTGATGCCTTAATTGATGTGTTCAGAATTACGAAGTGAGGAAGGTTTTGGTTTCTTTTAAAGAAACTTTTGTAGGAAAAGCAGATGAACAGGTTTGTGGGTCAAGGTGGGGGAGCAGAACAGGAGTCAGGAGAAGGTGCTGTTTCCTGCCCCAGCACTGACGTGCTTTGGGATTCTCAGCTTCCAACATCATGCAAGAAATGGCAACTAGCCCCTAAAAGAAGGCATCAGCATGTGCTAGAAATAGTTTGGACAGCATCTATAAGCAGTGCTGGGAGAGAAACTTGCTCAGTCATGACAGTTTGGTGCATCAATTCAGCCACTGTCAATCCTCTGCAGATACACCATGCTGGTGTCCAAAACAAAACAGAAAAACCTGGAAAAAGGCTGGCTAGCAGACCAGAGGCAGTTTATCTGTGGTCCATAAGGAAAAGCTAGCCTGCTGGAAACCTAAAAAAATCCAGCTTGAACAATGACTTCATAGAGGGTTTTTCTGTTTTAGAAAAGAATGAAAAGGACAAATAATTGGACTAAAGTTGAGGCTGGGGATTGTTATCAGGCCAGAAAACTGACCTCTTCTGAGGGAGATACAAGCACTCGGTTATCAGGGGTCCTTTTTCATAGGAATTACTTCTTGCTGAATAATTGTAAAGCATTAAAAGATCAACAGCAACAGCAGGATAGTAAGTATTATTTAAGTTTTTTCATGTCCTCTCTTTCTCCTCTGATCTCTCCCCAATATATTTTGCTATTCCCAGAGGGATTAGTACTTCTGTATGAGATTATACATATTCTTAAAAAAAAAATACTTAATATATAAAGTAAGATTTTCACAGAGTCTAAATTAAATTAGGAATCTTTCTACTCTGTTATGAAGGGATGTGAGCACATCTACAAAATACACTTGGGTGAGCAGGAGCCATGTACTCAAAGATATGACAGATTCAGGCATTAATATCTGCCTGTCGCACATCACTGCAAGGTATAATCCTCAGCATAGCATTCTGTTTTCTGCACTTTTTTCCATGCTCTGTTGAGATTTTAACTTAAAAAAACACACTTTGTTTTAATCTCCAGTACCCTCTATTGAATTTGAGATATGCTTGCTCAATGTAGCTCAGTAAGTCTGCACCATGTGGCAAAATTCAAACAAGAGTCAGGTCTCCCGGGCAGCTATTGCTAATAATCCACTTAGGGAAATATAATATTTGAAAAATGATAGATT